AAAATTAATGAAAAAGTTAAAGTAATTAATATCAAATCAAATTTTTTATTCAAATTTAAAATTAAATTAGATAAATAAAATTAAAAGAAAATGATGAAAGGTTGGAAATATTCTAAAACATTCGTATTCTTAAAGACTATAAATCCGTTTGTGTATTATATTCATATTGTATTTTTAGTTATGAAATTAAAACCAAAAGAAATGTAAATTAAATTATTGGATTAATAACAGAAACATTATATGAATTATTGTTAAATATCACTTCAATTTACATTTAATAATAAAATTGTATATTATCTTAATTATAACTTTTAAATTTGTAAATTTTCATAACAAGAAGAGATATATCATAACTCATGTAACCTTATTTAATTAGGTTTAACTTCTTCTTTTTTTATTATTACAAACTATCAAAATCACACTAAATATATATATATACATAATTTTTTAAATTAATAATTTAAAAAGTTATAAATATAAAAATTAATAAATTTTATATATATCTTTAATTATTAATTGATGTGTCATGCAATAATAAAAATTCAAAATCTAAAACATGCCGTTACAATATAATAAGTGTCACATCAATAAATAAATATGTTGAAAAAAAATTACAAATAAATAAGACAGTAAAAAAATATTTAAATTTTTATGGTAGGACACATTTTTTGCGTGCATAGTGCAAATCTTTAGAGTTGCCAAAAAAAACAAAAAAATCATTTATACAATTATTTCATTTCATATTTTTATGATATATATATTTTTTAATGAACTTATAGCAAGAACCTGTTTTTTCATAACATCATTCCGTCTTCAAGGGTCCCCTTTCTCTTTCCGGGTAAAATGTATTTATATTACGGAGAGAGAGAGAGAGAGAGAGAGAAACCATGTTAGATGGGCTGGAAAGGATGCCATCTGCTTTTCAGGATGAGAGGCAACCAAGAGCAGCCATTCTTCCTCATTTTAAAAGTAAAATGAGCACTTGATACTATCAAAACAATATGTAACTATAAAAGTATTTAGAGAGAGAGAGAGAGAGATAAGAGTTTTTGCGGGGAGGTTGGGAGGCACATGCTTTTGCAAAGGAATGTCCTACAAGGCCACGTCCCTCTGTTTCGTTTTTCTCTTGGGTTTAGGGGAAACACCCATCATGCTTATCAAACTCCCTCTCTCATATTCATTTCTTTATAATTAGCTCTTGATCATAACTTTCGCTTGGTTTTTTGTGCTTAATTATTATATAGTATGATATGTTAATGTTCCATTCCACCATCAACTACATAGCGACATGAAATATTTAATGCAATTTCAAAAGCTTTGGTCAACACTAAAAAAAGAGGGAAAAAAACACCCACACTACCTCCCCTAAAATAAAAATCTATACCTTTAATTAAAAATAATATAATTCCCATGCAATCATAGTTATTTATTTCTTAAAATAAATCTAGTAAAAAAGAAACATCTCCGAGATATGGTGACTAGTGTTATATGGTAAAAAAAAAAACTCAAAACTCAAAACAGAAACACTTTTTTTGTGTTTTTATTTTTTGGCCAAATTTATAAACTGAGACCACTGATTTATAAATCAAAAATTTTATCAAATAAATTTTTATTTGAGTTTTTTAAATTTTTATAAATATAAACAGAAAATTAAAAATATAAGTATTACCAAACGACATCTTACTGTTCAAAAGAATAAATAAATAAACTCAAACTTTCTCTAAATACTCTAAAGGTTACTACACTCACTTTCAATTATTTTTGAGTTAGATGATTGAACATTTAGAAAGCCATCTTCAAAATCCATTTCTAATGCAAAATGTATTATTAGAATTTATGATAACCAGCCGACAAAACTATATATAGTGGTGTTACATATACTAATTAGTATTTACATTAGTGTATCAACATTAGTTATGATATTATTATTGATCTCACTCATGAATCACATTACAAATACCAAAACTTTTTTAAATTATGTCACGTCATCAATTAATACACTAATTAGTATACTAATTGGTACATATAACATTATTCATCTATATATCTCACCAAGAGAGGTTAGCCGTTTGAATTTTTCCACCCGTGTGTGAGTGATATTCTGCGTATATTTATTGAGGTAGTTTTATCCTACTTTGAGAGTTTTTTGTGCTTACATTGTGTTGTATTTGACCGACTTTATTGTAATGGTAATTTATTGAATTGAATTTTATTGTAATATCATATATAAATAATAAAAAAAGAAAAAAAAAGTTATGGTGACAAATGGAGCGCAAATTGGGACCAAAAAGATGGAAAATTATACAATAGTCTCGGAGTATTACATGATCATACTTTCTCATTAATCACCATTCATTATGTCTCATTAAGTTTGTCAATCACCTAACACAAATAATTAATATTCTACATTCTTATCAATTATACTATCATAAAATATCACCTCACTATATTCTAAGACTAACAAATAATTACCTCCCAAAAGACACGTACAGGTACAATTGGTGACTATCAATAGTAATTATTTCTTGAATAATAATATATGTATCAATTAGTATACTAACTAGTATATTAATTAATTATATGACAAATTTTTAGAAATTTTTTATATTTGTAATGTAATTAATGAGTGATATCAATAATAATATTATAACTAGTATTAATATATTAATTAGTACATGTAACACTACCGTTATTTTTCGGAAGATTGGTCCGGCCTTTCATGGTCGTCCACTCCGAACATTAAAAATTCCATCATAATTGCCGACTTGTGACCGTTACCCAAGTCTTCGATTGGTGGGTCTGGATAATTGAGGCTCACGTGGGGTTCATTTTGATCAATAACAATTATTTCTTAGAAGATGGGCCCGGCCATTCTTGGTCCACTCAGGACATTAAAATTTCCATCCTATTGCCGTCCTGTGACCGTCACCCAAGTCTTCGATTGGTGGATCTGGTTAATTGAGGCTCACCTTGGGTTCATTTTGGTCATTAAAGTTTAGTGTCTTTTAATGGATTAATAGAAAAATTAGAAAAAAAAATTAAAATTTATCCCTCATAATAAAATAAATTTTAAAATTTTAATTTTATCAATTTAAATTTAATAGTTTAATTTGTTTTTATTCTAAATTATTTATTTATTTTTGTTAAGTAAACTTAATTAAAAATAATATTTTAATCGTTAAACTTAATAAAAAGAAATATTTTAGGCATTTTATGTATACTTCTATTAAGTTTAATAATTAAAATATTCTTTTTTCATCAATTTTACTTAACGAAAATAAATAAATGGTATATTTTGAAAACAAATCAAATGATTACAATTTAAATTGATAACATTTAAAACTCAAGATTTATTTTGTTATAATGGTCAACTCTGGTATTATTTTTTATTATAATTTATTATAGATTATTTATATAAAAATTCAAATTGATCGAATATTATTATCATATTTAGATTTCATTTGTTTTAAAAAAAATAAACAATCTATTTTTGAAATCATATTACCCGTTCATTTTTTTTTTTATTGACAAATACAATCTAGCCATGTGATTATCGATATCCGATTAATTTAATTTTTTACATGAATAATTTACTTGAAATATATTAAAAATTGAACGATTTAAATTGCCCATATAAATTCATGTGGGCCTCAATTATCCAAAACTAGACCCTCCAGTCGAAGACGGAGACTGCACGAAAGCCATGTTCTTTTCTCTCTTTTTTTAAGAAAAATAATATTGAAGTGCACTTCCTAGATCTGGTTTTTAGATTTAATAATGCGTAAGTGATATGATTACTTGATCATTAAGAAAAATATGAAAGAGAATATTATTTTAGATATTTTAATTAATTATCACATTAATAAACTTGAAAAATAAATTTAATTTTTGAACTTGAATATATATACTCTTTTTTTAATGGTTCACATTTTGAGACAATTCACATAAGTCTTTTAAGAGAAGTTATTAGTTGGTTTTGGGGCTCTACCACATAGTGCTCTAACAGTGTTGTGATTGGTGGAGGGACTAGGATCTACGAATTTGTGTTAGGAAATTAGGAAACATAAGGAGGTATGATAAATTATGATTGGTGAGATGGTTTAGCTACGTAACGTTCCTAGACCAATCAATAATTTTTGGTATTGTAATGTTATTGTATATTGTTAAGAAATATTTTATTGTTCTTTAAAAAATTAGTTTGGGTGTTTACGTCAGATTATTTTGTCTTATTATAAATGGCAAGTGACAATAGAAATCAAATTGATCATAATTCAAATAATGTTGAGTATAAAATTACAGAAAATAATTTATAAATTTATTTTTTAAATCTAATGATGTGTAAGTGATGTGATTAGTTGATGATTAAAGAAGATATGAAAGAGAGAGAGTATAGTCTTTGATATTCTAATTGATTGCAACATACTAGACTTAAAAATTGAATCTAATTTTTTATCTAGAATAATAATGCTCTAAATCTAATATAATTAAAAGGACATAAGTTAATCTTTAAAGAATAATTTGAAAGGAGAAATAAAATTTTCTCTATTACGATTGATTTCAAAACTGATATAAATCAGACCCAGAGTCACGCCACAATTGATGGTACATACTCCCCTTGTCCCAAAATAATAGTCCTTTTTGGAGAATCTAACTTTTTTTGGTAGTACAATTATTACATTGTAAAAAAATTGATTTTCCAAAATTACCCTTTTGAAAGTATATTTTTTGGAAATATCAATGTCATAATTGTACTTTTTATATTGTTTATTAATTTAAAAGAATGACAAAAATGAAAAATTTATATTATTTTTATACTTAATTTTTGAAAAGGGACTAATATTTTGGGACGGAGTGAGCAGCAATTATTTCTGAGAAGAGAGGGACGCACAGGCCATTCTTGGTCCACCACCATCAGCATTCCATTCTATTGCTCTCTTGTAACCTTGTACTACCTTGATGAAACAATCGATTGGTCATTACAAAAAAAATCATGTCAAAGTGGCTTACTGTGCTCTGCACTGCTCTCGTGTGGTGTTGCTATTTGTACAGTAACCCTGCTGCCACTTCTATGGCAAATAATGAGACAGATAGAGTTGCATTGCTGGCCTTCAAGGCTGCAATTGTTGAAGACCCATTTGGTGCCCTCACTTCTTGGAATCATTCACTCCACTACTGCCATTGGAACGGTATTTTGTGTAGTCGTCGGCATCCTGATAGAGTTATTAGGATAACTCTAACGTCCCAAGGCCTGGTTGGATCGCTCTCACCTCATGTAGGAAACCTCTCCTTTCTCAAAAGTATCGTTCTTTCAAACAATAGTTTCCATGGCCTAATCCCACAAGAGATGGGTCGCTTGTTTCGATTACAAGCAATAGAATTAAGCAACAATTCGTTTGGCGGTGCAATACCTACCAACCTGTCGCGTTGCTCGAGTCTTGAATCCTTGAACTTGATCAACAACAACTTGACTGGAAACATCCTAGTCGAGCTAGGCTCTTTGTCAAAGCTTCGAGCTTTAGGCTTGTCTAAAAACAAACTTTCCGGAACCATCCCTCCTGCCATTGGAAACCTCTCATCTCTTACCGTACTCTCTTTGGCGTATTGTAATTTGATGTGTCTTAGAGTGTCCAAGATTCTTAGCGACAAGCTTAGAAGTTAGCTTTAATGGAGTTTTGAATAATAGAAAGTTGAAGAAGGTAGGTTGAAGATGAAGAAGATGAGGAGAGCTCTCAATCCCTCTTCTAAGCCTTGGGCAAAATGTTTAACTCCTTGAAATGATATTTCATCCTCTACTTATAAAGTTTTGGATATAAATATCTAAGATATTTATGGAAAGTGTGTGGAACAAACTGAAATTCCTAAAAATGCTTTGTACTGAGACAATTCAGCACGTGCCCTTTGGTATTCGGCCGAATGTCTTTTGAGTCGGCCATGACATGTTGTCCAGCCAATCAAAAAATACATTGTTGGATCAACAAGGTAAAGTTAGCACAAGTTGAAAGGAGAAGCAAGTATTTTAGAGGATTTCACTCCTTCCATTTATCCCCCCTATATCCCTTGCCTAGTCTATTTGAAAGTAAATGACATTTTGATTTTGAAAATGTGAGCCTCAAGACATTGTGGCAATGTCTAGAATTGCGCTACCAAACGTGTTTTGGAAAAGGGTTTTCAATCGATCGGAAAGTATTTTGACCAAAACAAGTGCTTGATTAGTTTCAAACTTGACCCTGGGGCTTCTTGTTGAGGGATTCATAGGATTAACACATCTCGACTTTCATCATTGGGTACCCAAGAAAGAGTGCCTACACCTTAGGGCCGGTCAAAATGGAGTGTCTAAAATAGGTTTCCACTAATTTAAAATAGATTCTGTAAGCCTTTTTAAGTATTTACTTTGAACTTATAAGTTCTATTTATTTTATAAGTGTTAACACAACCTCAAATTTTTTAAAGCAATGAAATGATAAGGTTAACAGAGTAAAATTTTACTATATTTTCAAAATAGAGTATCAACAAACGAAAGATATATTACATATTGTTATAACAAATCAAAGTACAATTTTACTGTCACTTTTAAACAGAGCACCAGCAAAACAAAATATAAGCCACATATTCCTAGGGCAAACCAAAGTAAAGTTAATCTAACGACAAATAAAAGTGTCATTATTCAATCAGATTCAATTAAAAATAATTGTAACAAACGAAAATACATATCGTTCAATCTTCAATCTTGCTTGAAAAAATCTTCAACAATTATTCACTGTTTCATCCGAAGAAACAAACACACATCAAACTCGTGATGTCATCCAATCTAAGCTACTTCGAAGTTCCATAACTCAATTGCAAGTGTCAATCCAAATAATCATCGAAATACAACAAATAAGTTCAAAATATAGCAATCACCGAAGTTCTACGACTCGATTGTGGAACCATCTCTTGCAATCTTATAGAAATTTTCAACTTGAAGCGTTGAAGATGATATATACATATAGATTTAAGTCTATGTATGTGTGGAAAGAGAAACTTTATCATGTTCATGGTTGAAATGTGAAAAAATAAGTAACAGAGGATAAAAAAAAAAAAAAGTATACGGCTATGTTTGGTTGTGTTTCCAAACAATGCTTCTACACCTATATTCAAATATGATGTTTGGTTGTAATTCTCAAATCACATTTTCAAAACTCTGCGGAAAACTCTGTCTTAGGCGCGTTTTCAAAAAAAAAATTTCAAATTTGGTCTAACCGGTCGTCCCACAGAATGTCCCCCCGGTTGACCAGAATAGTGAAATTTTTTTTTTTTAATCAAATACATGGAAGCACTCCTTCGGGCATCGGGAACCTCCTCAACCTCACTATCTTATCTATGGCAGGGAATTATCTTACTTGCCCTATTCCATCATCTATTGGCAGACTTCATAAGTTGCAAATTGTAAGTTTATACAATAACAAATTGACAGAACTGCCATCTTCACTTGGTAATTTGACTTCGTTGTATATTCTCTACTTCGAAGAAAACAACATCCATGGAAGCATACCTCCGAGTTTGGGCGATTGTCATAGCTTGTTGGAATTAGACCTTTCTAAAAATAATCTCAATGGTCCAATACCCCCTGAAATTTTGAATCACTTGTCTAGTTCAATATTCCTCTTGTTAGGTCACAATGCACTAACAGGTTCTCTGCCATCAGAAATCGGGTCTCTGAAAAATCTTGAAATGATGGATGTGTCCTATAATAGATTATCAGGACCCATACCAAACACTCTAAGCAACTGTTTGAGTCTAGAAAGGCATCAATTGGAGGCTAATTCATTTGAAGGAGAGATACCTCAAAGTTTAAGAATGCTGAGGGGTTTAAGAGTCTTGGATCTTTCGTGCAACAATTTGTCGGGGTTGATCCCAAGTTATCTTGGCGAGCTTCAACTAGATATGTTGAATTTGTCTTTTAATATGCTACAAGGACAAGTTCCCATACAAGGAGTGTTTCGAAATTCAAGTGCAATTTCAATTGTTGGAAATAATGACATATGTGGAGGTATTGCAGAATTAAACCTTCCTCCTTGTTCATTCTCCAACTCAAGCAAGAATAAGCTCTCTCACTTAGTGAAAGTGATCCTAGTCGTGGTTAGTGTGGTGATATTTTTATCGTTGTTAGTTATCTTCTTTATTTTTCTTCAAAGGCATCATGTTTCAAAAAAGAAGGCCTCTTGCACGCCATCAATCATGTATCAATTTTTGAGGGTTTCTTATGCAGAGCTTCTCAAAGCCACCAATGGATTCTCAGAGGCCAATCTAATTGGAGTTGGGAGCTATGCTTCAGTTTACAAAGGGATTCTTGATGAAGTTCAGATGGTCGTGGCAGTGAAAGTGCTCAATCTTCAGACCAGAGGAGCTTCTAGGAGCTTCATGACAGAATGCAAAGCACTAAGAGCGATAAGGCATCGAAATCTATTGAAAATTTTGAGTGCTTGTTCTAGTGTGGATTTCAATGGTGATGAATTCAAAGCTTTGGTATATGAATTTATGGCCAATGGAAACTTAGGAAAATGGCTACATCAAGTTGGAGTGGAAGACCACGGGCAAGCAGAAGAACCCAAAAATCTTAAACTAATCCAACGACTGGACATTTCAACTGATGTTGCTTCTGCACTTGAGTATCTTCATTGTAGTTGTGAGTCTACAATTATTCATGGTGATCTAAAGCCAAGTAATGTTCTTTTGGATGATAAGATGACGGCCCATATTGGAGATTTTGGGTTAACAAAAATTATGTCTATCGGTTCACGTGATGTGGCACAAGGTCAAAGCAATTCAGTTGTGATAAGGGGAACCATAGGCTATGTTGCTCCAGGTACAAATCTTTTCAATTTCCTTGGAGTAGAAAAACTGAACTTGCAATAGGAAAAGTAATTATATATATATATTTTTTTTTACACAAACATGAATACATTTCAGCATAAACATACAAACCATGGCTTCTACAAAATAGTGGGCACCTACATATTTTGAAGCATTATTTTTATACACAGCTATTTATGAATGCTCCCAATGTGTGCTTCCACCTCCTCACTACTTGCAAACCAAGTACTAAGTTTACTTTGTTTCATGTGGTCATGCTTAATCTTAGTATAAATATTACCATTGAAGTTTACATCGTTTAATGTGGCCATGCTTAAACTTGGCTTTGAAAAACTTGAGTTAATCCTCTATGCCACCTCTATTTTTTTATTTTTTAAAATCTGCTTTATGTAATTGTAGTATGAGATTTTAGTTTGATCAAAATAGTCCATGTATCGACTAGCGTAAAGATTTAATTTACTAGTTTGCTACCAAAGCATTTTCTAAGAACTTACTCAATGCTTGGAAACTTATATAGTTTATTCTGACAGAATACCTCCTGCATGACTAATTTATGTTTGCTTCAATAAAAAATACAATTAAACTATGTCATTCTCAACAATTATCTTACTTAGTCACTTGCAAACACAAACAAAAATATTGTTATTGAGAGGGACATCATAGCATTAAAAAGTTTTTTAAGTTTCATTAAGAAAATTATTAAAAACATTTAGCGGGATTGCAACTATCCCAACTAACCAACTCATTTTACACACTAACGTTAGAAACCATTTGCAGAGTATGGCATGGGGGACATGGCTTCCACACTAGGGGATGTATACAGTTTTGGGATTCTTTTACTGGAGATGTTTACAGGTAAAAAACCAACTGATGATATGTTTAATGATGATCTAAATCTTCATAACTTTGTTAAGAATGGTTTGCCTGATCGAGTGATGGAGATTGTGGATCCCCGCATCCTATTGGAGCATAACACAATGTGGATTAAAGACTTCATGGTTTCCATTCTACGAATTGGGATTGCATGTTCGATGGAATCGCCAAGAGATCGAATGGAAATGGGGAGTGTTGTTAGTGAACTGAATAAGATCAAAAATACTTACATGAATCAAGGGTTGAACCAAGATTTGGAGGTTGGAAGAGATTGTGCAACATGAAAACCAAAAGTGAGTAGCCTCTTGACCTATGCATATGCATACTAAAATAGTAAAAGCTATACTCAAAACAGATTTTCTTGTATTCGCATTTCTTACCACTAGACACAATGACATGAATTCCACCTATATTTATTAATATGGACCTTACTAAATTTGTGACTAGTAGCAAGAAAATCTGATACGAAATTCCTTTATATATAACATTACTCTACCAAAATACATCATTTCCTATTTCATGTTCTCATTTACTCTACCAAAATATATCTATTTATTTCATGTTCTCATTTGGGATTTTTAGTTATGGTTGCCTCATTGATGAGTGTTCATGTGATCCTTCATCTTCATCGGCAATCTTTATTCTATTGCTTGAATAAATAACCGTCACTTATTTTCCTTTGAATAGATTGTATTATATATAAATAAATAAAAATGTGTTCATCTATGACAATTTCCAAGTAAGATTGTGTGCCTTTGATTATTGTTTATCCCTTTTAAAATTATCATTTTGCTGTTCCTTTCCCTTGAAATTGCATGTGTTCCTACTCCTTATACATTGGTAATTTGTTGTTCCAAATTAGCGTTTATGTTCTGTTTATTTATGCAGAAAGTGTTATCTATAGAAAATGTTTTCCTATGATTTGTTGTTGTTATGCATAGAGTCCTTAGAAAACTTGATCACACCAAGATAGTTGATGGACTCAAATATGAAATAAAAGAACCATACAAATCTAAGATAGACAAACAACCACAAACTAACAAAATACCATTATTTACATTGTTCGGCCTAAGCCTACATCTATGAACAATCACAAAGAGAAAGATTCCACTAACAAAGAGAACAATGCTTCGAAGAGTTACAATGGTGACAAAATAATCTCTCACAAATAACTAAGCTCACATAAGTTCTCTCACCAAACACAAATCCTCTCTACAGAAGTCTCATGAAACTTCCAAGTGATCAAAGGCCACACCAAAGACTTGAAGGCCTACCAACAAAACGCCCTTGTGGGGGCTCCAAAGAACCAAAAAGTTCTACCAGATGAACTAAAAGTTCAACTGAATTAATAAGAGTCGCCACCTATTTATAACCAAAGAATCGTTCCTAAAGTAAAATATGTTTCCTTTCAATCATAGCCAAAACCAACTAGGAAACACTAAAGGTCTCTCACAAATCCAAACTAATATGGGAGTCAAAATCAAGTCAATGTTTGGCTACCATCAAATACTATTTCAATTAGGAAATAGAATACCAAATCCAAATCATGTTGGGAATGGACATTGAACCAATAATCCAACAAATCTCCACCTTGGTGAGATTTCCAATTGCTGCATCAAAACAAACACTGAACCAAGACAAACAAAACTCCAGCTAAGTGAGATACCCAATAATCCAAATCAAACTGAACAAATTTTGTTGAATCGAAACAAAATATGAGCGCTCAAATTGAAATTAGACCAAGCAAAACGAAAGAGCAGAATCGAACAAGTGTTTGAGACACATCAAGAAAATCAAAACAAATTGTAGGACAAAACAAGCTAGCTCTTCTAATTTTTTACAATCACAAAACCAAACTTCAAACTCCACCATGGCACCAAGTTCCTAGTTCAAAATCAAAGGAGCCAAATAAAACAAGTTGCCTTCAACAACTCCAAACAAACCATGGTGAGCAAACAAACTAACCGCTTGAACCAATGTGAGGAGACCAATCCAAAATTAATAGAAACTTCAAAGTCTCCATCCAAGTAACTCCAAAAGTGATCAGTTTCAAGTTTGATCAATACCGAACATAAATTTTCTCTCAACAATCTCTAACCAAACAAGAGAGCCAACAAATTATGAGAGAACCCAAAAATGCTCTCATATAAACAAACTGCTGATGGAAACAAGCTGTAACCAAATTTTGAAGTTTCGAAACAAACTTCAAACAATAACGAAAGAGTCAAATTTTCTGAAATATTAAGCAAACTCCATAATCCAAAACAAATTCAAAAGATCACCAGCAATCCTAATTGACTCAATCGAGTCTCCAAACGATCTATCTCCACCAAATCAAAAGGCATATGTGAACAAATTTGATTTCTAAAGGACAAATCCAAAACCAATGAGGAAAGCCACAAGCAATATAACCAAAGCTTAACTCCCAAAAACATGAGATTTACAATCATCATCTTCAAATTTCTCTTCCAAAGCAAAATTGCTAGAAGATTTCTCTTCACCAATCTTCTCTCCAATCTTCAAGAACCACCAACAATACAAACTTCAAAGAAAGCAAATGAATGAAACCTAGATCATCACCCAAACTTTCATACCAATTTGTTATGCGGAAAGCCTTTAGAAAACTCGACCACACCAAAATAGTTGATGGCTTCGAATATGGCGTAGAAGAACCATACAAATCTAAAAACGAGAAACAACTACAAATTAACAAAAAAAATAAAAAAACTACTATTTACGTGGTTTGGCCTAAGCCAACATCCACGGACAATCACAAAGAGAAGGATTCCACTAGCAAAGAGAACAATGATCTGAAGAGTTACAATAGTGACAAAACAATCTCTCACAAATAACTAAGCTCATTAAGCCGAAAATAGAAGTTCTCTCACCAAACCCAAATGCTCTCTACAAAAATCTCATGAAACTTACCAAGTAACCAATGGTCACACTAAAGACCCGAAGGCGTATGAACAAAACCCCCCATGGGGGCTCCAAAGAACCAAAGAGTTCAACCAAATGAACTAAAAGTTTAACTGAATTAATAAGAACTTCCATCTATTTATATCCAAAGAATCGCTCCTAAAGCAAAATAGATTTCCTTTCTTTATTTTTTTTATTTTTATTTATTTATTTATTTATTTATGTGGTTACATAATAGATTTCCTTTCAATTCAATCCAAAACCAACTAAGAAACATTAAATCAAAAAACTTTAGGAAGTCCAAACTGTCAAATAGGTCTCTCACAAATTCAAACTAATATGGGAATCAAAATCAAGTCAATGTTTGACTACCATCAAATCATATTTCAATTAGGAAATAGTATGCCAAATCCAAATCATATTGGGAATGACCATTGAGCCAATAATTCAACAGTGACCTTGCAATAGGTTAGAAGGGAGATCAAAGTGAAATTTTGATGTCAGGTCAGTGTCGTGTTAAGGTAACACGATTATAAGTAGGTTAGGTCTGTGCTAAAGTAATAGACACGTTTAATTAAATGGGCTGTGTTGGTGTTGGATTGTTTTGAACACGATTCCGATATAACACGACACGAAAACAATACTAAACGGCACGATTCCCCCCCCCCCTAATTGTGATTATAATAATTTTTTCTTTTTACCAATTATATGAGTGTGATAAAAGAATCTAATTAAATATTTTTATGTAAAAAGTATAAAGACAATTAAAATTTTTAATTATTTTTCAAATTTCAACTGCATGTATAGATCAAACAGCTTAATTGAATCAGTATCTAAATTTCAGTATATATCAAACAACTTTTTAAATTAAAAAATTCAGCATTCAATTTTCCGTACTTAGTTATCAGTTTTATCAAACAGGTCTTGTTTCTATTTTTACATATATAGAAACAAAATTACTATATCCAGAGCATTATAAATATTAAACATCAAGTACCAAATTTATTTGTCATCTTATAAATTTTAAATATTTTTTAGATTTTGAAACATAGAGGTCCCAAAATACCTAATTTATTCTCAAATCCCAAAATTGTATCCTAATATACTGTGACTGGTCTTACCACAAGTCTCAAAAGTTTATTTTGTTGTCTTCTTATCAATTTTTTGGAAAAATTAAAAAAATACTATTTTTTATTAAAAATTAAACAAACATATTTATAAATAAAAAAAATAGATAATACAAAATTAGGAAAAATTATCAAAAAGTTATGGTCATTGTTTTGGTTCATTAATTTTCCCCAATATCTCAAATATCAAATAAAAATTATGAAGGTAATTTTTCAATCTTAATCAATTAACATATCTAGGTTACTTATGCAAATTTATTTGGAGAATATAATCTTCTTGAATGAGATTTTATTACTTATATTATATAATTGAAAGAGATGAAACTGGCATGGTTGGTCATAATAATATTATGCATGGTGGCACAACTCGAGATCTTTCTCAATCAAAAGAGTATGATAATGCCATATAAATATAATTTTTGTAATCATATAAAAAATAAAAATAATAATTTTTTAAAAAAATCAATGTACTCTTTTGTCTACTGATTTCATTTTAAGTTAAAACATCAATGGATGATAAACTCAATCCCAATCTACCATTTATGAGATAGTTTGGTAAGAAATCTTTTTGTTTGTTTTGAAAACATTTCATTTTCAATTTTACTCTTTAATTTATCTATTGACTTTTTTTTATTTGTGGACTTTCGTTGACTATCTGTTCTTAATTTTTTCCTATCTGTTCAATTTTTTTACCTATCTGTTAGCTTTTTTAATCTTTTCAATTCAAATTTTCCCATTTGTTTGAATATTTGTCTAAATAAAATTCTATATGTTCAAAATTTTTAACTATCTGTTCAAATCATTTTCAAATTTATAAGATTTCCTATCTGTTCAAATCCTATCTGTTGTTCATCAACATCATCACCAAATCCTATATGTTCATCATCATCTTCATCATTATTATCATCATCATCATCAACAACATCAAAAAAAAAAAATTAAAAAAATTTTTTTTGATGAACTCATCACCAAATCCTATCTGTTCATCATCAACAACATCAAAAAAATTAAAAATAAAAATAAATAATAGATTTAAACCTACCTTGGGCAGATCTAGATAGATACACAAAAAAAAAAAAAAAAAAAAACAAACAAACAAACAAACAAATAAACAAAAAACAAAACAAAACAAAACAAAAACAAAAACAAAAAAAAGATTTGAAAAAAAAAATGAACAGATCAAATCAGGTCAGATATTGTTCTAACAAACAAATAAGATCAAATCAACTCCAATCGAAGGACCACATCCACGAGGGAGACTGACTTCTCAACTGCAAAACATGAATTGTATATAAATATGCATACACATATCTTGTGTGTAATGTGTATATGTGATGGAAAAATCAATAAATAAATAAAATAAGAAATTGTGATTATAATGAAATTAAACTCACCGATTGAGGAAATCAGCAAGAAAAACAAGAGAGTCCCATTTACGAGAAGAATACGGGTTCAAATAATTCTTCAAGTGATTACGAGCATTCATTGGAAATTTTCTTGGATTTGGTTCTACTTCTTGAGCATCAATGTACATAAAACAATCATCAGATCAACTCAAATCGAAGCACCATGGTAGGCAAGATCCATCGCTTAGATCTATGAAGGCTTCCTCCTCCAGATCTGAGGTCACACCAAGAGAAGAGAAACAAAGTTTGAGGCCAAACACAGGTCGTGGTGACATGCTCATCATTTTGTATAAGGAACTAGGGTGAGATTCTCACTCTAACGAGATGAAATCTAGGATTTAATAAGCTTGTAACTCAACAATGGTTGAAAGAGAGAGAGAGAGGGAGAGAGGGAGAGGAGACAGAAAATTCTGGGAAGAATGAAGAAAAGTGGCCAAAAAGTGACTCTTTAAAGTGTTGATCTCGAACAGACTGCTCGAGCGAACATTTCACCGGTTGAGCAGTGAACACAATCTCTTAAAAGTTTTGCAGGTCTATAGTGAAAATATTGGGAGCCTCACATCTCTACTCGAACGACTACTTGACCACTCGAGCGGTCTCTCTAGACACCACTAGTCACACAATACAGTTCCTAAGGTACTCCCAACCCATCAACCTTATTTCTATATATAACCATTTAATTAAATATTTTCATTTAGTCTCTTACATTTATATTTCATTTACTTAAATTTACAATGTAAATAAGGAAATACCTTTCATTTGGATTCAAAGAAAAAAAAAATCAAAATCTAATTAAATCAAAATGTGACTCCCCCAGTTTTAGTATAATAATAAATTTTTGATTGAAATTTATAAGTTTGACATTGAAGTAAAGTGATTAATACCTCGTAGAAAATTTCATAAAATCATATTAGACTATTTAATGTATAAGGAACAAGAATAATGCTACGGGTCAGGAAAGGTTTATCAGGAAATGGATCATGAATGAGGTGGCATTGACCAACTCATTTTGGTGGAGCTCCCATATGTTATTAAAAAAATAAAAAATTAAAAATAAGAGAAGTTGGAAAGAGTAGAAAGAGAGTTGAATGCCTTCTATATATCTCTTGATGAGCGCTGACCCTTTTCACTCAATTTAAAATTATTCACACTCATTAAAAAATATTTTAATTTTGTTAAGATTTTAAATATTTTAATATTTAAATATGTTACGATTTTTTTAATTTTTTAATTTTTTGAATATTTTTAAATATTTTAATTTCAAAATATTACGATTTTACTTTTTTAAATTTTAAAATATTTTATAAAAATAAATTCAAACTCTATTTTATAAAAATATTTTTGTCAATTCCATACTCAATTCAAAATTCAATTCAACACTCTTTTCAAAAATCATAACTAAACAAATTTTCTATACTCAAATCATAATTCCACAACTCACAAATTCAAAATACAACTCATACTCTCAAATCACATTTACAAAACTCTACCAAACGCAACCTTTATTTTTGTCATGCTCTTATTGATATTGTTACTAGCAACTCCTCATTGACTTTTTCTTAATTTTTAATGACAAACATAACCTGTTAATGGGCTTGGTTGAGATCACAAATTAAAGAACAAATAAAATTTATTCATAATGAAGAAAAAAATTCTTAATGGTAATTTACTCATAATGTGAAAAAAAAAAAAATCACATTTCATGATGAAAAAAAACTTCAATGTTTCACAATAAACTCTAATAATTGATAATGCTTAAATGTAATAATTCAACTATATAATCCAACACAAAAATTATTGTGTTTTAACAAATAAGTCTCTCAAAATGTAATATAAACATTCTCAATAAACTTTAAAAAAAAAAAGGCAACAAATGTCTAAGCAACCCTGTCATGTAGACATTTTCAACTTCTACCATTTGTGTCCTCTTTTGGATTGTTAGTATGTGATTGTACTATGTCATTCAACATTTTTGTGAAACTTGAATGCTCGAATATCAAAGATGGAGATGGATGATGATGCCCCTATCAAAAAAAATAAAATATATTAAATTTTCATAAAACCATGTAAATAAATACATATTAGAATATTACGTACTTGGTATGACAAGTTTTCTTGAAATATGTTTTGTTGCTCTAAACTTGGACCTAATATTTCAGATTCCTGCCATATAAGAAGCAATTAGACAATCCAACTATAAATAAATCATATAACTATAAAGTTAATGAATAAAATAAATTTCTTACATTCACTTGAATACTCTCTTGTGTACCAAGATCAACAAGTCCTATATTTGAAGATGCACCAAACTCGGATTGCTGCAAAATATAAAATTTGAAAGTTAACAAAATAATAGTTTTTTTTTTAATAGTAAATTAACTCATTCAAATAATTTTCACACCTCTACACTTCCTCGGATGTTGATGGTCTTTTTCTTGGTATTTGCTCCTTTCTTCTTCTTGTTAACAACTTTTTCAACCATGGATTGTTTCCTTTTACATGGTGGCCTCCCCTTTTGACGTAAACCGACTGGATCAAGTATGATTCTACTCTCCTTTGACTTCGAAACACCATCTCCATGAGTGGTTGAATTATGATGATTACTCACAAAACTAGACTTATTATTTCCATAATCAATTTCAACTTCTTCTTTCAATTTCCCTTTTAGTTCAAGTAACTGTTCGACCACCATATCACACCTATTTTCACAATCAGTTGCCAAATCAGCCATATCATTGAAGACATTGAACATTTTATTATACCGACGTGTTTCAGGCAACATTGAAGAGTTGTTATAATTGATGATCACTTTACTATGGCACCTTTTCACATTTTTGTTCCATCTTCTTAAAATGTACTTGTCTGGTATCTCATGAACCTTTTCTTTCATTAATACCACAATTTGATGCCTGCACACTATTCCCCTAAACTCGAACAGTCGACAACTACAATTTGTGTCAAAGTTTTCCTTATCAAAATAGACAATGAAAGTTGCTAATCGAAGGTTCTCTCCAAATGGAACATCTTCACTCACTTCATATACAGAAAAATCAGGACCTTGTGTATACAAAGATAAATTGCAATGAAGCTGTCCTACAACCTCCTGTTGGAACTCCTTAAATTTTGCAATAGTGTAAGCTTTTTGAAATTGCTTCTCAAATGGATACTGAGTTATGCATGGGATGTATGAGTTGAGAGAATTAAATTCTTCACCATTTTCATTTTCCACCTTCTTCGCCAAAGCATTCTCATATTGCTCCACAAATTGTTTCAAAATGGTTTTTGAGTTAATGTACCCATCAAAGAATGCATGCATGCTTTCACTTCGTTGTGTGGTTGACATTCCCGCCCAAAAAATATCTTTGACAAATGTAGGTACCCATTGATGTCTATCCTTAAACAATCCAAATAACCATTCATTGCTTTCAAGTTGATACCTAATTAAGAAGAAAATTAAATTATTTTATTAACTTTTTGCTGAAAATTTGTAAAAATTCAAGCAGAAAATTCAGCAATATATTTAAGAAAGTTAGAGAAAATTCAACAAAGGCCACAAAAATCCTAATTAAGAAGAAAATTAAATTATTTTATTAACTTTTTGCTGAAAATTTGTAAAAATTCAAGCAGAAAATTCAGCAATATATTTAAGAAAGTTAGAGAAAATTCAACAAAGGCCACAAAAATCCTAATTAAGAAGAAAATTAAATTATTTTATTAACTTTTTGCTGAAAATTTGTAAAAATTCAAGCAGAAAATTCAGCAATATATTTAAGAAAGTTAGAGAAAATTCAACAAAGGCCACAAAAATCCTAATTAAGAAGAAAATTAAATTATTTTATTAACTTTTTGCTGAAAATTTGTAAAAATTCAAGCAGAAAATTCAGCAATATATTTAAGAAAGTTAGAGAAAATTCAACAAAGGCCACAAAAATCCTAATTAAGAAGAAAATTAAATTATTTTATTAACTTTTTGCTGAAAATTTGTAAAAATTCAAGCAGAAAATTCAGCAATATATTTAAGAAAGTTAGAGAAAATTCAACAAAGGCCACAAAAATCCTAATTAAGAAGAAAATTAAATTATTTTATTAACTTTTTGCTGAAAATTTGTAAAAATTCAAGCAGAAAATTCAGCAATATATTTAAGAAAGTTAGAGAAAATTCAACAAAGGCCACAAAAATCCTAATTAAGAAGAAAATTAAATTATTTTATTAACTTTTTGCTGAAAATTTGTAAAAATTCAAGCAGAAAATTCAGCAATATATTTAAGAAAGTTAGAGAAAATTCAACAAAGGCCACAAAAATCCTAATTAAGAAGAAAATTAAATTATTTTATTAACTTTTTGCTGAAAATTTGTAAAAATTCAAGCAGAAAATTCAGCAATATATTTAAGAAAGTTAGAGAAAATTCAACAAAGGCCACAAAAATCCTAATTAAGAAGAAAATTAAATTATTTTATTAACTTTTTGCTGAAAATTTGTAAAAATTCAAGCAGAAAATTCAGCAATATATTTAAGAAAGTTAGAGACAACAAGAAAGTGAGCTGTGAAAAGCGTAATAAAATCTTAATTGTTAATTTTTTAATTAAAAATGTGAGATGGGTCTCACTGAAACTAGTGTTTTAGTGACAAATTTTATGGCCATTTTGTGGTCAGTAGAAAGGTTGGAAAAAAATGGAAGGATGTACAATAGTGGCAGTCTCACCGGAGGAAGGCGAGAGAGACGAGGAACTGGAAAAGAAAATATTTCAGAGGAAGATGGGTTTCTTATATATATATATACAATAGCTTTTCTGCAACATCAACAAAACATTTTAATAAAAGAAAATAGCTAAATTCACAAGTGAAAGAGAGGAGTACCAGTTAAACGACGACAAAGATGAGTTCTGTGAATAAAATTTATTCCGATGACGCTTATCTTTCTTTCTCTCCCCAGTTCGTTCCGAGAAGAATGACAATGGTGAGAAGGCATTCAACTCTCTCTCTAGTCTTTCCAACTTCTCTTTTTTTTTTTTCTTTTTTTTTTAATAACATATGGGGGCTCCACCAAGATGAGTTGGTCAATGCCAACTCATTCATGATCCATTTCCTGATAAACCTTTCCTGACCCGTAGCATTATTCAAGGAACAATATCGCCAAATATTATTTTCAAAATCGTAAATTTTGAAAAATCCAATTTTCACGAGTTTTCCCTGGAGGATATGTTCAGCCGAACATCTTTTCAATCGGCCAGATTAATTTGTGTACAGCTGGACGATTTTTCATAGAGCAGAACAGTACAACCTCTAGGGAGTGTTCTCTTGGGTGTTTCAGAGTTGCTGTGTAGAATTCATTATTTATTTTAGTATATTTTGTTAGATTCAATAGTAATGTGGCCAAGTCAATTCATTTGTTGTAAATAACTTCCAATCCCACATTTTATTCATTCATTTGTCGTAATAACTTCCAACCCTACGTCTTTTTATCCCTTTTATTTATATGCTTTTTGTGTATGTTGTAAAGCATCACGTTTTATATATCATAACCATGTTGTGCATCTATTTTTCATTCATATGGATTCAGTTCATTTGCATTTGAGGATTTTATCATTTCAAAGATGGTTTTGTGCGCTATCTTATGTTTTGAAATGATTGGTCGCAACTGGAACCTTAGTTGCACATTATGGATGTATTGTATTAGTCACTTGTATATAGGATCATGCGTATACATTTTCGGTATATTCTTTTGCTTGCCTTCAAGGAGTACTAAGTGAGCATTTTTTTGGTTTTAGCATTTTGCGTGTCCATATTATTTATCGTATCTGTTGCAGATAGTAATATTAGCATTATTAAAATCGATATATGGATATATGGAGACTATAAAAATCACACTATGACTTAGTAGAGACCGATCTTTTGATCGGATAGGTGGGGTACTCAATTCATGACATTTCCCTCTCATACCTAAATTCTTGAGCCGAGACACTTTGGTTATGATAGACAGTGGCTTTTGGCACGAATCATAGATTTTCTAGTTTTCCAAAAAAGATATAGTAGCAACTCTAAGATTTGGAGGTGGATTTTCTATTCAAATTCCAGATCTAAACTCTCATTCATGTTTCACCTTACACTTGTGAATCTAAATTAAGAGATAAGAAGTCCAACTGTTGGGCCCTCTCGGTAACCCCGAAAAAGGCATCCTACACTCAACTAAACGTTTTGTCTCACTTGTCAAATAAGATGAAATCAAGAAGAGAAAAATCTACTAGAGTGAATTTATACTAGAAGAAATGAGAAGAAAATATAAAGGAAGAAAATATAAAGGAAGAAAGGAGAAAAGGAAGAAAAATCAAAGGAACCTCAATTCTAGCTTGTAGAAATCTAAGAAATTCACCAAAAGGTAAGAAAACTCATCAGCTTTCTTGTATTGTTGCTTTGATCTAGCAAGAAAATCATTAAAGATAGGATTTGAATGATTGAAGTTAAAGTTTTGAATGTTAGATTGGAAAAGAAAATAAACTTGAAGATTTGTTATGAAAATCAGTTTTAATGTGGTCTGAACATTGAATTCTTGCATACAAATGTTTTTCCATGGATTTCCTATCATTAATTTATGTTTTGAGACTTGAACTATCATGAGTTGAAGCTTTGGGTGGAAATAATGGATGAAGAACACTAAGAACACACACTAACCCGTTTTGCTTGCTTGAAACCCGCTTGTGTGGCAAAAAATTATGTACGAGCAGATTCAAAGTACACTGGCAATGGAAATCCCTACCTCAATCTGCCCAAGCAGATTTTCCAAGCTTAACTAGTTCGCCTGAGTAGATTTGCTAGGGCATATGCCCGATTTCATTCTTGTCGTTCATTTTGATGCATCGGACCTCATTCCAATCTTTTGAGACCTAAAATAGGATTAGCGCAGAAACCAACTTAAAGTAAGAGTAGTTAAGAAAGAAAATTGAAGTTAAGTAGACACATTTGTTTCGCATTTCGCTTTTTGTATGCTTGTTTGTGTAGGTCAAGCACTTTGAAGAAGAAACCCTTTGTTTTGAAGAGCCATTTGTGAATAGTAATGTCGTAAAGTTATGTTTGTTAAGTTATGATTTGAAACGTGAAACCTATGTTATGTTTATGAAAGCTAAGTTCATGTTCTACCATGACTGAACATCCTATCTCTTGTATCATGTATGAAGGTGACACCCTTGCAAACGTCCTAGTTATTGCGAGACACCATAATGGCCGAACTCTTTGCCAGCTTCAGGTGGGTTGTCTAATTATTCACTTTCAAGGTCCTTGAAATGTTCATCTCTATGTAAATGTTTGAAAGTTCATATTCATGTTAAGCTATTTTCAAATTATGATTCTTGTGCTATGTTTTATAAACTCGTCAATGTTCATTCATTACCACTTTACTATGTTACTATTCACTTGCCAATGGCTCACTCTTCTTCCCTATATGTATGTAAGTGATAAAGGAGAGCACAATTGTAAGGAGGAATCTACTTATAAGTCTTTTCCTTTTTGTTTTTGCACTTTTGAGAGATGTACCCTTAAGAAGATAGCCTTATGTATTTGTTTTTTTTTTTTTTTGTAAGCTTGTATCATAAATGCTGTCTCTTACTCTTTTTTTCTTTTTCTTTTTTCTTTTTTTGGACTTTGTAATAATGCAAGACGTCAATTTAAGAGGGATGTATGTTTTCATTTCATATGACTTATGCACATGCTTTGAATGGACTTTTTGGTAATCAATTAGATGAATAATTTCGCATAAGGCCCAAGTATTGTTAGTTCAATCTTGTCTCGTCTTGCTATGCCTTTGGTAGTCAAGCATTACTAGACAGTCACAATGCTATCCTGTTTAGGGGGAGATGGGGTCGTGACAATAATTTATTTCCATTTCCCATTATTTAACCAAACATTTCATTTGAAATAACATTTCACAATCCAATTGATCTCACCCTATTGAATCCTCTCAAATACATATATCTGCGAATGGCCATCACTAAGCACATCTAAACCTTACTTTACCAGTTGCTGATTGGAAAGAATTGGGTGCCTATTATCACAACCCCATCCCGTTCCAAACAGGATAGCAGTTGTGACCAGCTAGTAATACCAAACTATCAAAGGCCTAGCAAGACCAAAACAAGACTGGACTAAAAACATTGGGGCTTATGCAAAAAATTTTGTCCATTAATTACCAAGAGTCCATTCAGAACATGTGCGTAAATCATATGAAACAAAAAAAGAAAGCTTCTCATTCTATTTACTTACAAGTCTAAACAACAAAAAGAAAAAGTACAGTATTTACAAACATACTCTAAACAAAAACCCAAAACATATATACAAGGCTATTGTCTCT